GTATCGTAGAAAGATTTAATCGAACGCTAGCCGAGAGACTGTTTGGTCATCAGTACGCTCAAGAAATGTTAAATCCCGAGAGTAGAAACACGCAATGGGTCGAGCGATTACCCAGCGTGATCAAAGCTATAAACGATGAAACGACGAGATTAATAGCTAAAGCACCGTCAGAGGCGGTTAAACTTGAACAGGTCCGGCAATCGCCGGCTAACCCCGTTAAAACAAAAGAGCAACAATTACCGCAAGATGCCATGGTTAGATATTTATATTACCCGGGCGAGCAAGAGGGTGGAACCTCGAGAAGAGCCACGGATCCCATTTGGAGCGTAGACATCTTCAACGTGGAAAAAAGAACGAGTCAATTTAAAATGATTAACGGTAAAAAAGTCACGACGGGTCCTACTCTTTATTACCTTCAAAACGGCCCAAAAAGGAGTTTTGTGAGACAAGAGCTTCAAGTCGTACCCGAGGACACGCAATTACCGCCGTAGTGACCAAAAGCCAGCGTGTTTATACCGTCCGGTAAAATGTACCTCTTTGTGTCCAACGGACTCAACGATAGTTTATTTTGAGATACGGTGTAAAGGATATGATTTTCCGACCTAATGTGAGTCATGGTTTCGTAGTGAGATTTTTTGTTTAAGATGCAGTCGTAATAGTGTCGGTGTTTTAATTTCTTAGAGGTAACCGATTTTGTGACACCCTTGGCTTTTTTCAGGTTGATGTCAGCGGTTAAAATGGAGTACATTTTAGGTCTTATACAAACAACTTCTTTGACTATTTTACCTCCAAACTCGTCTTTAAATTTACCGATCACTTTCTTATTGGTTGGGTCGTACAAAGGATGATCCGTCGGATAATTCGAAAGGTCGTATTGTTGCCCGTTTTGCTGCATATCTTTGTACACGTCGTCAGTGTGCACTACGAGTACCAAACTGTCCGTATCTGTGTACATCAACCTGATTTTCTCTTTGTACTTGTCTTTCAAATGGTTGTAATAAAAATCGTACATCAGCGTCTTTGAGAGATCCAAGATACTCACTCCGCAATAGATTGGTTTGTTTAACACGGTTTTAGTCTTGTACTTTTCGACAAATGACAATTTGCATTCTGAAAATGACGTCGTCGTTTTGTAGCTCGGTTTCTGTATAATTTTTTGGTATTTATCTCGATCGTCATCGTTATTGTCTCTGAGCAGGTAACCGTCAATCCTGTTTCTGACGTTTTCCATCGTCTTACCAAACACGCTGTTATTCATCAGTTTAAAAAAGTCTTTCTCAAAATCAGAGGTCGCTTTTGTTCGGAGTTGCGTGTTTTTGTCTATGTAAGATGCCATCCAAGGAGCTTGTTTAAATTGCAACACTCGATGTACCTTTTTAAGTTTCAAGCCGAGTTTGAGATACAACTGCAACGTGACGTAGTGCAAAACATATTTTTGTTTAGGATTAAGGGTACACGTTAATTTTTGCACGTTGCTACTAGGTTCGGTATCCAATAACTCGTTTTGATAATCAGACATCCATTCTTTTGGTATGACGATATTTTCTGGCGCTAGGGGATAATCGTTGTGCAGGTCGTGGAGATTATCCGGGTAATCGAGGTCTACTTCAAAGCAGTAACCGGTGTTTGACGTTTTCCTGAGAGATAATATCTTAGACTCGGTAAACGTTTTTGTAGACGCCCATTTAAAGTCTTTGTACGGCAGGTATTGACTCATGGCCCAGCCGTACAGATTGTTTGCATCGAGGTAGGTGATGTAACTCGACGGCTCGTTTGGATTATGGTCGGGTAGGTATTTGTTGTTGGCTTTGTGGTATCTCATACCACCCACGCTTGAGATACCACCTCTTTTTGCTTTTTCAAAAAATAAATGTTTGTCTACGTCTTGCAATAGTTCGAGTTTAATTTCCGAGTGTTTTAACAAGGCATCCCACGACAATCCTGGTGCTGTATAGTAATTAGCCGGATCTAACGCGTAGTTTGTAATGCACGTTTTCCTAAAGTTTTCAAATACGCATGCCAGTAATAACGTATCGGTAGTGACGTACAAATCGTGATATTCCCCCATGTTTTTAACTTTAAACTCGTTCCACGTCAGTTTAGCTCTGTCGTAGTCCTCTCGCGATATATTTTCGTCTTTTAGGCTGCTGTAAAATTGTTCGATGGGGGGTAGGCTGGTCTCTTGAAATCTGTCAAACGAGTCCATGTATTCATACGGATAAACTCCTTTTTGTAACAACGAGTCGATATTTTGACGATTAAAATGTTCTCTGAGTAGTTTAAACGACTCTCTCGGACAAGCTTTAGATAATCTATCCAACGAAGACGCCATAAAATTAAACGAGTCTATAAATCGCATATTTCCGATCGAAAACGAAATATACTTTTCTGAATTTCTAGCGATAACTTGTATTTCCTTTTCATCGTACTCTGAAATACTCTGCATGATCAAGTGAGCGTCGTAATTTTGCAGATTGTGAAAGACGACTGGTATGGGGGTAAAACCTGGTTTAACTTGTAATTTTAGATTGCAGTAGGCGTGCGCGGTACCTCTATATCTACCCGTGACGTGGCAGTGATCTCTCACCTTTCTAAATTTGTTGATTTTCTTTTTGCATTCGAGGCATTTAGACTCTGTAAATCCATTTTTGTTTTCGTACTGATGTTCTTTTATTTGTTTTTCTGTTTTTGGTTTTTGGGGTTTCTGGCACTGACAGTTGCTCGAGTAATTGGGATAAATTGGTTTCTCGCAAATCCAACACGTGTTTGTTGTATCATGATGTTCTTTAGCTCGCTCATTAAATTTCATGGGTTGGGGTTTTTTAAATATGCAATTTATGTCGCTTTGTATTTTTAACATTTTATTTACAAACTTTGATACAGCATCTTTACCTCTATAAGTCTCTTGATACGCATTGGTGCCGTCGCATCTAACTACTACCAACGAGTAACCGCTAGCTTTGTGAATGTTTGTCTTTTGCGTGTTGTTCTTTTTATCGTCCGAGTTTTTTTCTAATATCGATTCAAAGTCGGCGTAAACTACAAACGGTGCTTTTTGTTTAAACCTGTAGTTTTTAAATTCTAATGTTGGCACATCGTTTTCGTCGACTATCCACTCGTTATTTACATATTTTTGCTTAGCGGTAGGAAATACAATCTTTGACGGATGTGTATCTATACCGTTACAATCGGCCATGTGTCTATCTAATTTTACTTGCGTTCTATAATGACTCAGGCACCTTCGACAAAAATATTTCTTACTTTTATCTTTTGTAACGTTGTGAATCAATCTCGAAAAGTTATTTATCCAGCAGTAGTGATGCTTGTCGCCCTCAGAAAACAAAAACAGATCGATAGGTCGTGACTCTGGTTTGTAGTTTTTAGACACGTATAACGGATATATTTCCCCCTCATAACCGTATACGTTTATCGTTAAATTATTTTGTCTTTCTATCTTTGGTATCTGGTCGATCGGTGTTGGAAAGTCTACGCCATTAAATTTGAGTCCGTCGTCTTTGGTGTATACAACAGGTTCTTCTTTATGAATTTTATATTTAGGATCGTTTTTTATGTTATTTTTTACTTTATCCGTATACAACCCAAGAGCAGCTCTCAAACACCATCTCAAACACTCGTCGTCTTTGTTTTTAATGTTAATCATCGCCGTTTTCTGTTTGATACATTTTGGTAGGTCAATATAAGAACTACCTCTCACAGGGTTAAACCTGTTGATGTTGATATACAACGCCATTATCTTTTTTAAAACCCAACCCGATCCTTGATTCGTATACCTTTCATCCTTTCTAAATATCTGGTCGATGTCTTCTTTTAAAACCTGTTTTATTTGACTTTGATTTAAAACGACTCTCTGATCGGTAAAATGTGTAGCTTCGATCGTTTCGATCGTACCATCGGGTTTGGTTTTTTCGTATTTTATTTTGATTGTGAGCTCCATTTTTAAACCTCTCAGCTCTCTCAATTCTGACTTGATTTTATTTACAATTTGATCTTTGTGCGTATCAAAAAACTTGACTAAATCGTCGTTAAAAAGTCTAGGAATCAGTTCCCAGTTTCTAAAGTTATTTCTAAATCTCCTCGTCGCTCTAAACTCAGCCTCTTGAAAATACTCGGGTTGCCTAGAGTTTTGAATCGCCGAGAGTAAATCTTTTTTCAAAAATCGACCCTTATAACCCGACGGGTTATATTCTAGATCATAATCGTCTACAATCTGTTTGAGCTCATGTAGCTTCTTTTTCCTCAAGTTTCTAAATTGAGCTTCGTATTTTTTTATCCCGTTGATGTAGACTTTACGCGTAAGAGCAACATTTTGATCGTACGGTATATTATATCGCTGGACGTAATCGCGCAGCGTGGCTTTATTCCATCTAGAAAATCCCTTAACGATTGGCCTAATCATATCCATCATTTATATATATCAATATAATTTTTTTAAATTTTTTTAAGAGGTCAGACTTTTGGATTTATAAGCAATCAGACTCACCGGCTGGTGAGGGAGATCTTCAAGACGAGAGATATTGAGCCCCGGTTTTGGCTTGGGGCTGAGATATCGGGAGGGGCGGGTGGGGCGGGGGCGTGGCCAGTGGGTGGGGGAAAGGGGGAGGGATAAAGTCTGGTACCTGCCCCTCTCCCCATTGGCCCTGTACTACCCCCAGACCTATGGCAAAGTCTGGTATCCGCCCTTCTCCCCTACTCGAGAAAATTCGAATTGAGCATAATTGCTGGTGGATCCGACTGATTTTCTTTTTAACTTTTTGAGATTTCTGAAGAATGTGTTAGATTTTATAGTATACTATCGTGTAAACTTGTACACTGGTGGTCCTCAATGGATACCACCGGTGTTAAATTTACACCGCGGTGTACAAGTAATAATGGTGACGAGAAGTGATTATCAAGCTAATGTAGATCACTAGATTGTTGGGTTTTTTTAAGAGCTCGTCTTCATCAACATCTACAGCTGTCTCCCTTTTGTTCTGTCATAGTGACACTGAGCTGGTCATCGATCACCGCCATTGTCGCTTGTTCCTGTGCTGTCGTCATTGTCGTTGTCGCCTGTCTTGTCCTTATACTGTACAAAATGCGTCATCATGGCAACCGGCCGATTAACTTAAAAACAGATATGGAGATGCTGCATATAGATGTATGTTTACTCGCTTTTGATTCTTTGTTGCATTACATTTTAAATTAAATTTTAAACAATGTACTACTACTAAAATCTGATCAATAAGCATTAACTCCCCTCATTTCCAATAAACAAGAATCTCAACAACTTCAAGACATAAAAATATACTAAAATAATCAACAACACCTTTTTAAAATCTCTCACGACTGTAACAGGGCGGCCGGAGAACAGTGACGGCCGCTCAAAATAATAAACCAAGATTCCCAAACTTTTTTTCTTTATCAAAACCCCAGTCTCACTTTGTATAAAAGGCGGTAATGCTGCCATATTCTTGTTTTTGTGACGCAGAGCATAAAGTTTAAAAAGGGTGGCAGTAACACTTCCCTTTCCTCCGGCGGGACTGCCAAGGGCTCACTGGAGGGGAGTGAGGCTTACGAGTTCCCCCGCGACAAGCTGAAGTTGCTGGAGGTCGTTGGGAATGGCTCCTTCGGTCTGGTCTACAAGGCCACGGCAGAGGGCATCTTTGAGAAAGGCGTGGTCAGCACTGTGGCAGTCAAGACACCGAACCGTGAGCCAGACTCGATCATTTTGATTCATTTTCTATATACACCAATAGAATTTCGAATTCGTATTATGGACCCTTTTGGCAGTGGTTGAAAATGATACTGTATATGCAAACGTAAACCGTTTGAACGGATTCTTCCTTTCCCTGTTACCGTGGAATTTGTAATTCGCCATTCAAGTATTAACAGGGACTTTAAACACTTGTTGTATTTGTTGCCGGTTAGGTGGTAGATAGTTTGCTATTCCCAATGTTTAATCACACTTGAAGGACGACTGTCTTAAGTCGAGCATCAGAATTGCAAAATCAGGAGGACCCACATGCCAACTGATGTATAGTACAGAGCTCGAACCTGTGTGAACACAGTACATACAATGTGTGTATAAAAAGGATACATTTAGAGAAAAAATATTGAAAATACTATAGTTCCTATTTTGTTTAATATATATGCTTAAAGAAGGATTATTTCTCAACACAATGCTTTTTTCCCTATTTCATTTTGACACCTACATCCAGAGATATAGACAGTTAATTGAAAGGGATGATATGACAATGTGTTCCAATTCGCAGCAGAGTGGATGAAAGGAGATTAACATGCAAGCAATCTCTCTGTTTGGATTTGGAAAGTAAATGAATGTCACTTACAAACATAAAATGAGACCATTTCTTCTATCGTAGCGTCTGGTTCGCCAGCCGACAGGGAGGCCTTCGTGAAGGAACTGGAAATGTTCACCATCTTGGTTCAACATCCCAATGTGGTCTCGATGCTGGGATACTGCCGAAAGAAAAGTAAATCATCTCCAAAGTATAGAAAAGAAATCTCCAAGAATGGGCAAACATTTTATTTCATCTCGCGGGAAAGCAGATGTGCCAGGGTTTGCTTTGCTCTTCAAAGTTATATATAGGGGGGGGGGATTGAAAAATGACATTTCACAATCTTTCTGAATAAGCTCAATTGAGATCGCATTTTGGCATACCGTGAACGGTCTATTTCAATATATTAATTAACTGAAAACCTTTAAGAACATTTCAACTGAAGTCACATCTGCAGAACTCAAAAATAACACATAGCAGTCTTTTTTTTCTTCTAAAATCAGTATCATAAGAGTTGCATTGTTTCTACATGTACATAGATCCACTCTATTTGATCATGGAATATGTTTCCAATGGTAACCTGGAGAACTACCTGAGACAGGAGAAGCAACGGGTCGACCAATCGTACATCAATGTCAATGGTGTGACGGAGACTATCGGTCCCAACCAGATCCTGACTTTTGCCATTCAGATTGTGCGCGGCATGAAGTATCTGGAATCTGTGCAGGTATTGGTGTCTCCTTTTAACCCGAGCCCAACATCTATCATATAATCCATTCACCCATCACTGCTAAAGTTGTAAGGCTCCGGACCAGCCTCGTTCCCAGGGTGTCTAGCAGTAAGCTACCTGCTCTCTCACCCATGGTATTGGTTTATTTGCATATCCACAATTTTTTTGGATATGTATGTAAATAAGGAATAGCCTGGTGCCTGCCCGTGCTTTACATCAGCGTTTGTTTTTTGTATGTGGTGTCGGGGGTAAAAAAAAATAGAATCAATTCGTCGCGCCGTGAGTTACGAAAATGTTACAATCTTATCCAGCCAATGTGCAGTATCACATTTCAGATTAATATGAGCAAATTGGAAAGGAAGGGAAACACGTAATACACATTGGAAATAACAACACCAAGTACACGATATAAATCAATTACCTGCTAATTGCGCTTTCAAATCAGGATACAGGCAACAAATTCCCATCCCAGGGTTTACTATTGGAAACACGGTTGAAAATAAAGTGAGCCCTGGGGATGAGGTTGGCTCCGGACAGTCTTATTTTTTACTGAATCTGAGGGGCCAACCTATTGTCCTCTGAATGAGTCACTGAGTGCCTGAGTAAAAAATAATGTCCGAAACGAGACTTTCAGTTCCAGCTCAACTGGACAAGCCATGTCTTGTGATGTGAGTGTTTATTTGAAATAATTGGGTTCCTTAATCACACATTAGAGAGCCTTTCCCAAATTTTAAATATCCCATATATTTGTTCAAATACTTTTTAACTTCCAATGTTAACACCACATATCAATTCAATCGATATATCCTTTCTTCTTCTAACGTGTCAAACTATTGGTATCAAAAGCAACTTGAGAAATCAAAGTGTGATATGAATTTCCATGGTATGAGATATTTTGCCGAGGCTAGGCTCGGGCTAATGATATTTTGCTTGTACCGCGACCGTATTAGGCGTTAACTGCTTTGTTATACGAAATGGACTAAAAAAAATTTTTAAGCTAAAACTCAATGTTCATTCACACGCCTTTCCTGATTCATCTGAATCTGTATTGTACACTTCAAAAACGTTGGTGGTGTGTTGGACAAGTGGTTCAAATTTAATGCTTTTAACTCAACACCATTGTGATGTCAGTTTATTACTTTTGTAAAACATTATACTATAGACATGCCAGTGACATTCATATCCCATTTACACGTATTTGCCCAAAAAGGAATTCGTTTTCAAGGTTCTAAGTTCTGGAATTCTTTGGATAATGACACTAAATGTGTTAACAGTCGTCGTTTATTTAAGCAAAAATTGAAGTGTATCTTACTGGGAAAATATCAAAACGGCTGATTTGACTTGATTTAATACAGTTCATTTATATTATTTACCTTATTATCATAACCCCTCATGTTGGTTGATCTTCGTGAACAATACATAGGGTATTGTTCGCGAAGATCAAAGTACGTCCTCGTCTTTATCCTAGTCCTTGTTGCTTGTGTAACTTAGTCATTATTACTTAGTGTATAGCATTCAATTTAACGATGTCTGTTTAATCCAATCCTTTAAGCTATGCACATTATGGGGGTCTCTACTCGACAAGCCCTGCTTTTTGTAGGCCCCCACCACTTAATCGCCCTTCATTCTAATTATACCCATTTTCCATGTATATTGTTATTTGATTAAGTGGAAATAAAGTATTGATTGATTGATTGATTATAAAAGCAACCATATTCTAACTTGTAATCTCCTCAGTGTATCCATCGTGACTTGGCCACTCGCAACATCTTGCTGGATGAGCAGATGGTCTGTAAGGTATCGGATTTCGGATTGGCGCGTCACGTCCCCGCGCAGAAGCAGTACGAGATGAAATCAAAGGTACGCATGTTATCTTTGCTATAGCGTTAGTCCTTACTATAGGTAATAATTATGTTTGATGTTTTGACTTCATAATAATGTTCATTCAATTTTATGTGTGAGACATTAACAGTTAAATATTTTACCGTGCATCGTTTATTTAAAAATGAACTCAATGCTTAATTTTCCAATTAAACACTGAATCACATTCTCAAAATGATATACTCGAATAAATAATTCCAAGAGCCTCATCGATATGACGGTTTAAGCTATAAAAAACAAACTGTCAATATTGTAAGACTTTCTCTTTTGTTTGTCAGGGGCGCGTGCCGTTTCGTTGGATGGCGCCAGAGTCGATCGTCTACAACGTTTACAGCAGTAAGAGCGACGTGTGGTCTTTTGGCGTCTTGCTTTGGGAGTTGGTGACACTGGGTAAGGACAAACTGAAGTAGCTAGCGAGGGTTTGGGAAAGGGCTAACCTAGTGTAAAAGAAAGAAATCTTTTGCAGTGTTGCTAACATGTATGCATAGGTTTTTCCTTTTACTTTATTTTTATCGTATAACTTCACTCGAACGATCTTTTAATTTCATCCCACAACATCGTTTAGTCCAACTGTTAATTTTCTATTTCAGATTTTCACAAGTGAAAATTGATTTTCATAAGTGAGGCGTTTTAAATCGTCCTACTTATGGTAAATTCGTTTTGTGTGGACATTAGCACTTTCTTTAAGCCCAATGATGTTAGAAGGAAATTACAGTATCTCAGATGTATTTGAGATTAGTGCTATATACCGGTACACTAGTCGGAAAACCTATATGGGCCTTATTCACAAGTTGGCCATTTTTGTCGAGTTCCCTGAATGCAAGTTGTTAACTGTTGAATGGGATGGTGCCAGACTATTTATGCAGGCACAATTGCAGCCTTATTTTACTGTCATTGTTGTTTTTTTAAATATGGTTTTAAACATTAGAGAATGTTTAATTACAAATTTTAAATTATTCATTGAAGCAGACTGGAATTTATTATAATTGAACTTGCTTTCATATCTCTTCGCAAGTTCCAAAAAATAAGATTTTACCTAACTTTCAGTTCAATATGGACGACTCGGGAATATGGCCCATTAACACTAAGCTTTTCACATCCCTCCAGTGGTGTGTGTGTTGTCGTTGCTGGTAAAGAATTCACGAAACACAAAATGGTTGGGTCGAGTAAGTCGAAATGCAAACAGACGAAAACCAAATATCGAGCAGAAAATACCGAATCAACACAACTTCCGAAGTTGATTTTTTTTTCGCCGTTTTATCTTGCTAAAGGCTCTCACCCGTACCCCGGTTTGTCATGTGCTGAAATACTCGAGGATCTGCAGAGGGGGATTCGCCTAAAGAAGCCAACCCATTGCAGTGACGAGATGTGAGTTGCCCAACAAATTATATCGTTAGTTTCATTGTTAATATAAGCAGAATTTTTTTCATATGATGGACTTGAGTTTGTAAATGCCGCTTTAGCTAGTTATGCATCTCATTCTAAACGAGAGAAAGTTAAGGGTGCTTAAGTGTGCTTTCAGCAAAACGAAAACGATTCTCATAGGGATGCATGTGAATTGTTTACGTTTTGCTTAAAGAACACTTACCTTTTTTGTGATCCATGGACAGAGCTTTAAAACGGTGTTTGTGTTCAAAATTCCGTAACTTGAAAAGTACATGAGTGGTTTCAAGGATTTTGTATTGGAAGAAAGCTTATTGATTAGGCTTTCATATCCTAGATTTTGAAAGTGCTACAGGCAAAACTTCATTCAAAAATTGGTCCTGTCGTTTTGGTTTCCTTTTTTTTTTTACTCACCCTGTATACGATATTTCTTTTTATATTATATTTCTCATTTCTTGGGTGCTAAATTTTCACATTATCATCTTCATTTCCGAGGATTTTAAGATGATAACTTACAATACCCTTACAGAAAACCTTTTCAAACAATGTTTGATTGCAGCTATCAGGTAATGAAAGACTGTTGGGAACATCGACCAGAAAAGAGGCCCGATTTTGAGATGTTACACCAGAGGATAGAGGCAATGCTGGCTAACGCATCGGTAAGAAAAAGGATAATTTTCGGGACACAAAATGGGGGGGGGCCTTGTTTCCTTGGCTACACGGATGGATAGGGAAGGGAGAGTGGTGGGTCGGGAATGTCGAGATCCCAGAAGAGTCTGTATTGGAAGTCAGCAGACTTGTATGACTCGACTCGAGTCCCATTTTTCGTGACTCGGACTCGGACTCGAGTCACGATAACAAATCAAATGACTCGGACTCGGCGCTGCAGGACTCGGACTTGGACTCGGACTGGACCTGCGGACTCGGGTCTCGACCATAATTACCACAAATCACTACAGTAATTTTTTTCTTTAATAATTACAAATTACATTCGGAAGACGACCCTCTCCTGAGCAAGCGATACAGTCTGTACGGTGCAGAAGAAATGCATCTAAGTACTGTATACATACACTTTGCATGCGGCTAGCTTGTTTCCGATATATCGATTTGGGAAATCAATGTATGAAAACATGTATCCCAGCATCCACACTTGATATTGCTTAAAGTGCAAGCTTGATAGTGTTTGGTACCGGATAATTCTTTCCAGACACTGATGCCTTGCCTTATTTGAAATGTTATACATGTACTTCCAGCTCATTAAATTAGAGAAAAGCTGTGAGGTTTTAGCAATACAGGTACCTTTTCAATATAAAAGTTATACTAAAGATGACTTGTGACTCGGACCGTCCTTTGTGACTCGTGACTCGGACTCGACCTTCACATGACTCGGGATTCGGACTCGGACTCGGGAGAAGTCTGGAAGTCGGTAATGGTTTCATTGAGTTGAATTCTTTAGTCCGACTCCTTGATCAACACCCATAACTTGCTTTTCCTACTCCCCTTATTTTTTTTGTCTGGGAGTGAAACTATGAGACTGTGGAATCATTCATGGTAGACAACGCGTGGAATGGATGTTGATACTGTATGACGCCTATCAACTGTCCTCAGAAGGATGCTTGAAATGCTGTCCCCGGGAAATTTAGAATTAAGAGTGACAATTATCTTAAATTTGGCTAGTTCTAAAACTGAAGTGTGCAGGGGAAATAATAAAGTGGAGAATAAGAAGTCATTTATTAAAACACCAAACGGCGATAAATCAATATTAGGTTTTGCCATTCACCGACGCACAAACACTGTATAATCAGTGTGTTACCTCCTGAGTGAAAGTTGGAAAAAAATCACTCGAGTGGGACTCAAACCCACGACCTCCTGCTTTCTAGTGCAGACGTCTTACCACTCGACCACCGAGCTTGCAGGATCGGTTGGCTGGTTCGTGAGAAGAAATTTGCGTCGGGGTGATTTAAATCAATATTAGGTTTTGCCCTTCACATTGACATTAAATGGTGATATTAAAGTTATATTAAACGATGATGTTAAATGCTAACTCTTAACACTGCAAAAACGTTGGGCAAAAAAGGTTGATATGTAGACCAACGTTGGTCAACATATCAACAGGTTATACTCTTGGGCAAAATCTTCCCAATAGTTTGACATGTTTTACCTCAATGAGGTAATTTCAAAACCACTGTTGGGTAAAAATATTGTTGTGTACGGTTCCAAAAGGAACAAGGCGACACAGAATAACGTTTCTACATATTTATTGTCCCACCTCCGATCCAACGATATGGATCTAACTCCATTTTGACAATATCTCAAAATAACCCAACAATACGTCACAGCATGTTGATTGCGCGTGTGCAATGTCTTTAAAGGGGCACACGCTACTTAAAGTGACTACACTACAAATATATTGCCAAACAGTGTGTTTTACCCAACATTTTTTACAGTGTACCCCTCTTCTCATACACAGGGCTACTTGCTGATGTCCAACTTCTCTGCAGAGCAATACCTGTACATGGCACCCAGCAGCAAAGGAAATCTGTAGAATGCACCACCGGAGTTATACGTCAACGAAAAAGCCACACATATATTTTGTGTGACCTTCACCTAAAAAAAATATTCACTGTCATGAGAATAAACGACGTTGTCAACTGTGTTTTTCGTCCAATATATGAGGAACTCGTGAAGTTGTTATGGCGTGAATTCAGAGTGGCAAAAAATCAATAAATTTCTGAACAATTTCAGGAAAATTCTGCGGAAACCAATAACAATTGGAAGGTCTATGTTTATCCGCCTGAGAGGTTATGTTTTCATCGGATTCTGTTAGTTTGTTGGTTGGTTTGTCTGTTAACAAGATAACTCAAAAAGCTATGGAGGGATTTGCATGGAAATGTTTTTGAGTGGTGGTCCTTGGTATAAGTACAAATTGATTAAATTATGGAAGTGATCCGGATCTGGGTCTGTATCCAGGATTTGCTTTAAAGGATTCTTCACCATATTTGCGAGTATTTCTTTTGGGTGTACTGACAATATGGCGGGGAATTGTTTAGCCTTGGCGGAGGTTTGCGCTCTCTGAGTGCTTTCTAGTTGGAGTTAAAACACACCTTTGTTCACGTTTGATTGTACGCCATGTTTAGAATTGTGGATGTCTCTGACATGTTTATATACACGACAAAAGCTTGCCAGTACCATCAAGTATACATTGTAACAAAAAAACGACTTATCGAAATAGGCAAAACAATAGTCCAACAAAAATCGAATCACCTGTCATGCAACTTAAACGAACTTCAAAATATAAACTTGACATTTTTTTAATGTTGTTATTGATGGCACAAACAGGCCTTCATGTACAAAAAAAACTAGATATCTTAGACTTAACATGTGAAAAAGTGGGTACCAAAAAGTGCTCGGCGTCATAGGTTCTTCGGCGTATAACGAGTCTTTTAAAGACAGGAATTGACTATTGTGTTTCCAATAAGGAAACCTCATGTAACTTAGCATTTCGGGAATTTAAGTTTGAAAATTCAAACCCTAGATAACCCATTTAAATCATCCCATTATTTGAAAGTTGATCATTTTAAAGTTTTTTTTCCACAATATTTAGATTAATATTTACAAGAGTCCTTAGCAAAACGTAATACAAACCTGCTGTTAAGCTCTGTTCATCTACATAAAGATAAATAGACTGTAGGTCAATAGCACAATATGTGTGCAGCATTCTCCTAAATGACTTTGAATGATCGCTTTTATGCTGAAAATGGATTGACGCTGCGTTTAAAATAGCTGCTATAATTTGATTAATTTGGCCGGGAATAAGTATATTTTTGTGTAAATACGTTTGTTTTTTGTTTAAACATAAATCTGTGTATATTATCACTTGATGGATTAAAAGGGACGACAGTTTCCAATTTATTTAGCAGCGGAGATTGTGTGCCCTTCCGTTTAATGTATGTACAGTCTTAAAACATTGGTTAGAATTTGGTTGGTTAAAAAGTTGGTTAAAATTTTAACCAACATTGTGTAAATGTCTCGAATTTGACCAATGTTGGGTACATTTTACCCAACGCTGGTCGTTGGGTAAAATTGGTTCATTTTCTTAACCAACATTTTAACCAACTGTTGGCCTGTTCACCTGGTAATCAATTATTGGTTAAAATACGTCGTTTTACCCAATATTGATTAAATTTAACCGAATTTAACCAACGTTTGACTACGTTTAACAGCCCATCAGTTGGTTAAAAAAATTGGTTAAAAAAAATAAACCAATTTTACCCAACGTTGGGTAAATGCAACATTGGTCAAAATAATTGGAAAGATTTACACAACGTTGATTAAAATTTTAACCAACTTGTTTAACCAACCAAATTTTAACCAATGTTTTGAGAGTGTATACAGCATGTGAATAAAAAATGCAGAAAGTCTTAAAACAACGTTATATTAAAATTGTTAAGAGAACCATATTGGGAATTATATCATATATTTGATTTTAATAAAATATCTAAAACAATGTATAGAACCGGAAAGGGAGCAAATTGATGATTTTGCTGTAAGCTTTATGCAGTAGCTGCCTTTGAAAAACATTAACAAAGACTGATTAATCATGTTGTACAGAAGACAACATTTTGGATCATTCTATTTTGGAAACGTTTGTATATAAATGCCCCCCATCAGTTGTACGCTTATCGCAATTAAACAGATATGATTTGTTCAAATTATTTTTTGTAATTAATCCAGGAGACCAGGAAGAAAATATTACACGGTTGCGTTTCTCGTCATTGCAAATATGGTCTATATTTTTAAAACCTATTTTCGGCTTTGTTGACAAATCTTTGTCTGTTCGGTTGTTTAGTCTGATTAATTCGGTACCCTTGAAAGGTGCAATGTAATAGTAATATATGAATCGAACTAGTCCATATATTGTAAAATGTTATTAAATTATGCAATGAATATATAGCAAAGTGTATTGTAAATAATAGCACTATATTAAATACTCTTCCTCTTTGATCTTCTAATGGTTAATGTTGTAGAACGTAATTATGTGCCAAAGACAGTTAATTCAGTTCTGGGAATATACTCTAGCATTTAATCAAGACTGAGCAAAAACGCTCGGCGCAATAGTTCAACAATAATTATTACTGAAGCTAAAACTGTTAATGATTTTTGGAGCAATCCGAAACAATGGACAACTTTGCCTTTCACGTCGCCATATAAAATTGTCTTCAAAATTGTTTCCAAATCACGTGTAAACTGTGAAATAATTATTACTCTCGTTACATTCTTTACACGTATGCATAAATCAGGCGTGCAGAAAAAATGCTTCAAGCAAGTGAGTCTTGTTAACTGATGTTATGATCACATGACCCCTGTATTTCACACGCTATTTGCCTATATGCGATATTACTTGACGCGTCTTCATCGATCGGTGTTAGGTTAAAAGGTCAATATAGCAAGGCGCCCGTAAGATTCTGAGAGAGCATGAAGGTCACCGTGAAGTTTATGCAACGCTTACCTTTTGCGGACCAAAATGAATATGTTAATTACTCGCGTTTACTTTTGAGAAAGTGTCCATAACTGTCCAATGCGAACACGGACTTAGGGAATACAGGGTATTTTTACGGATTAGCATTGAAAAGGAAAGCAGTGCCCACTTGGACCAAAAGAGACCAAAACAAAGATAACAAAGTAAAGATAATTAATTAATTATATACATTGTGAAGGAAGATTACAACTTAATCAATATGCTAGATGTCATTGAGCAGTTGTGGGATGACGTCTGACAGGCTGTTCCATACTGGTACCATTGCAGGAATGGTCGAACTATGCCAGTGTCCAAAAGTATGGCGTGCAATGTATACTTGACATTAAATCCAAAATCGAAGTTTCTCTTTTAATAATAAAGATATCTTTTTTAAAAGCGATATTTGTTTTAAACGATGAAATAGCGATATCTGTTTTAAACGAAGAAATAGAGATATCTCTATTAACAATTGAGATATCTTTATTATTACTAGAGATATCTTTGTTTCTATAGGATATTTCTATCAATAATTGGGATATCTCTATTAATAATATTAATACCTCTATTAGGAATAGAGTTATCTTTATTATTAATAATAGAGATATTGTCTATTTATAATAGAGATATCTCTAGTACAGGAATTAAATGTTTACTGGGTACGTCATAATCAGAATGTGTACGTCCGAATCCATATCTTTATTATTAATAGAAATATCTCTTTGTTGGATTAAATTTAATGTACGCCATACAGAAGACCTTTCTCGTGCCCCCGTCCTCGATCTATAGGTATAAGGGCAATCAATATTGCCGCTGCGAGGTTGGTCGAAAATATACCCAGTTTGGACAGAACAAAGGATTGCAGAACAAAGGATCGCGTGGCGCGGCGGCACTTCCAGAGTCAAACATTGTGTTTGAAGTAGTAGGGCGCGAAGCAGACGATTGAAGGGACAAAAAGCTTTGGTTTTTACGACATGACATTAAAGGGAATATACAACATTTGCAAAAATAACAAAACTACCAAATTATTTTGAAATATCTTACTGGACTGTTAGTGAATGACAGTGTAAAGCATCCTGTAAAGTCATGGCACCTCGCGTGCTGACATTTTTAAGAAATGTGGTATTTTTGTATCAATTTCCAACACAGGTCGGCCTAACAGCGTTTGAAAAAAACTGGCCGTTTTTAAATACTGCCCCCCAATTTACCATTTAGTTACTCTGCAATTGATTACACACCTATAAAATGGGTACAATGCAGCTAGACTGGTTTCCTGACCTTCCCAGACGTCTATAAATTGCTTCGTTTCATCTTAAGTGGGTCAGGGAACGAGACTATAAGAACATGATGTTTTTCCATCATCTACGAACACGTACTTCAAACAAGTTAGTGCAACAATATTTACTGTATATTCCCTTTAAACAGAAAGAACATTTCAAAGTAGAATATCAACGTCCAACACACAAGCATCCTTCGAAAACTCGGTGTTTTTGTGTTATTGTTGCGAGAACAATACCAGAACAAATTTCGGGGGTCAAAATTTTGCCCCGTAAAATCGAGCTGGAGTGCTCTAGTTGTGAATCAAGCAGCACAGTTTTTTTCGCTTTCTGCGGACGTGTAAGAAACAACATGTGTGTATTGGTGGCGTTTGTTTATGGTGTAAATCGAGGACACACATGGTCAACATCATCGATGAATCGAGGAAGGAAACCGAATCGAAGACTCCTCGGTTGGAAAACGTATACAAAACCAATGAGAGCTGTTGCGAAGTACAAACAAAGGAAAGGGAAGAGGAACCAAAAAAATTCTCGATTTACACCATAAACAAACGTCGTGTGTGTAATATCCCGTACACACACAACGTGTACGCTGCATTGAAAGACACGACTTGAAACACGAACGGGTTTGCCACAAAATGTCACTCGCGTCCGATTTAAACAACCGGGTTTTTTTTTTTCGTCTTTTCTTGGAAATAGGATGACATTAGGTTTGTTTCCTTTCAACTAGACCTTTGAAATAGGATAAGTAAACTATCCAAAACATAAGCTCTTCTGGGATTTCAGGTCGTAATGCCCCTTTAAGGAAGGCGACTTGTGAAAAATACAATTATCGACTTTTAAAAAGAAGCGTTATAGGCATGGCTGCGTTACGTTTATCACGGTGACCACGTTCGTTTATAAGCCTAATATTGGTTAGTCAAAATACGCAGCAACTGCATGGCCAGTTGGTCAGTACGAGACTAGCGAGACAGATTGACAATTATACCTACTTTATCGCCTCGGCTTGATGTCCTCTCGGTTACGACATTTTGTAGTTATATTTTGTCACAGAGAATAATTGCATGCTGTTTGTGGTCCATGCGCGTCTGAAGTCATACGTAGCGCTTCTTCTTTTGGTAGTTTGCGGCACTAAAAACGTAGTGGGTAAAATCAGGAAAGAAGTTGCGACATGAATCTGTCTTCAGAGACTCTCTGGTTCACCGCGGTAGCCTGGA